GTTCATGATGCAAACAAATTTTAACATTAATGTTTAATATTGAGATCTCCATAATAATAAATTTCTATCCCTCTCTGAATAGCTTGATAAATCTTTCAATCCAGTTGATTTAGTGTACATTATTTTATGACATTGATCATTTGATAAAATACCAACTGTACACAAAACCTTGTTCATTTTATTTTTTTTTAATTTTTTATTTAACTATAAATAAACACAAAATACAAAGGCATATATACATTTATTTAAAATGTATAAAACTTCTATCATTACTTTTTTTAAATATGATATTAAATATTTATTATTTTTTTAAATTTTGATTATAACTTGTTTTTTTATTTTACTGATTAACTTTAGAAAAAGAACAACAGCTGGTAAACTGTCAATACCAAGTCTAAGCGTTTTAATATTAAATAATAAATTAATATTTTAATATTAATTTATTTTAGTAAAAGATGACATAATATGTCATTAATTAGAAAGCATATGTGTATTTAAAAAAGAAATATTTATTTGAATTGAATGTTTCTTTAAATAATAGGTGAATTGAGTTTTCTTTTGTGTGTTTTTTGATGACTAATGAAAATTGGCAATGTCTATTATTTTTACAAAAATTTCAAAAAACCCGACTCTCAATTTTGCACCAAAACACTCTTCAATATATCTACTTTAATAAAAATGAAAAAAGTTCTAAAAATATTAATGCTACCATGGTTACCAGGCCTCCTTTCCGTCTTTGTTATATTTTCAAAAATAGCTATAGGTGAAGTACAATCCCCATATTGATATAGTTCTAAATATTTTCGTTAAAAACAAATATCATATTTGAAAAAATATCATATTCTAATTTCTCGTCCTTAAAACTATAGTGGTGTTAATTTTCAGCTTAATCACATGTTTAGTTGAACAGTTCACAAAACAAAAACTTGTAAAACAAAAACTATAGTAAAATCAAAATAGCGGCCAAACAAAAAAACCTGCTAAAATTAGCTGATTTTAAAGTAATATTATCTCTGAAAACCATTTGATATCAGTGTTAAAATTTTGCAAGGTAGTCTATGTTACATAGTTGTCCATTTTTACAAATTATGAAGAAAATCTGAGATGGTGGGTTACATGCCTATCCCACTTCCTCATGGAATACATCCTTACTGTTTTAAAAAAGTTATGATCGTTGGGTGGCAAGTTCAAATCATCAGCCTGCTTTTTTAAAAAAAAATTTGTTTATTAAAATGCAAAACAAAACAACTTTCTTTCTTTTAAAGCAAACTTCTTTCTTCAAAAGCATTTTATTTTGTATTTTAGAAAAATTGAAAAAGACTAAATACAAAAATAAAATAAAACGCAAGTAGTAGGAATTGATCCATGGCTTTCTGCATTAGGAGCCCTGCATGCTATCCATTCGGTTACACAGGCATATTATTTAGCAAAAAATTTTAAAGTATATATTAAATAAAAGACTTTATAAAATGGAAATAAGTGTTACAGATCATGTCTTGAGGAGATGTTGCTGCAATTCAATTTTCAAGTGAAAGTAAAGCTATAAAACCTGATATATGTTTTAGTATGTTTTAAAATTACATAGTTTGAAGTTTACGTAAGTTAGATATTTGCATACACTTTTGTTGACTTTTCTTATGAAAAAAAAGTGCTGCGACTCTTTCTTGCTATTACCTCAGTTGCAATAACTGGCAAGAGCACTGTGTCAAACACACTCAAATGAGCACTGCTATTAAGTTCCTTATTATATTATAATATGATTTATTAACATAAAGTTTCATGCAATAGCATAAGATTTAAATTGTAACAATCGCTTTATACTAAGATATTAAACAACTAGTTTATACTATGTGTGTGTATCTTTTTATATATATATATATATATATATATATATATATATATATATATATATATATATATATATATATATATATATATATATATAGATAGATAGATAGATAGATAGATACAACGCTCGAAGTGGAGAAAAAAAAGTAACAAGATGGCGTTTGGTAAATTAAAAATACCAACCCCCCCCCCCCTTCCCTAATCATTGTTATTTAGATAGAGTTTTAAAAAGGTGACGAGATGGCATTCCGCCCCACTTTGAGCACTGAATATATATATATTAAAGTGCATCAAACTTTCAAAAACAGATATGTACCTATTCTTTAAACTTCCTATTAGTTCTCACAAGTAACTCTGTTAAATTTCTTCAAAATGTAACTAGATTTTGGGGGGGTTATCTCATGTCTGAAATTTGCAGTAAGACTGTAAACTCCAAAAAAAAATTAAAAATAAAAGTGTATGTTATGTTGGGTCTCAAAAAAGCAACATTTTATAAGAATTTTATAAATAATTATCTTTTTTTATTTATGATTAAAAAATGGTAGTTTTCATGCAATAAAACATAAGCTAATAAATTTTTTATAAAATATTTATTATTTTCAAAATTTTGATAAACTTTCACTTTTGTTAAGACTCAACATGACATACATTTGGAAAACCTTTTTTTTTTTTTGCATTTAGGGTCTCATTGCAAATTTCAGACTATAGGTGGCCCCTCCTAAATCTAGTTATGCTACAAGTACAGTTAAAAAAAAGTGAACACTTAATTCAGGCTGGAATGGAAGCTTTTATTCCTTCTCGTCGGTTTCAAGTCAAGCCTCATTCTACTCCATGGTTTTCTCCTTCTTGTGCGGCTGCTATATCCAATTGTAACCATTTTTTTCATCTTTTTCAAAAGAACAACTCTCTTGAGAACAAACGGCTATTTATTATTGCAAGAAATCGATGTAAACAGGTGCTTTCTGATGCTAAACTCCATTATTCTCAGTTCACTAAATCTCACATCTTATCGCAGAAGTTAGGCTCTAAAGACTTTTGGAAAATCTTCAACAGCATTGTTAACAAGGGTAGATCTAACATTCCATCTCTCATTCATGGGACTGATCTTGTTTCCTCTCCCAGGGATAAGGCAGAACTGTTTGCAAAGAACTTTTCTTCTAATTCCACTCTTGAATCTTATTGAAATTCTCTTCCTTCCATTCCAGTCAAACAGGTTGACCCATTGTTAGACATTCAAATCACTCCGGCTTCTGTTGCTAAAGTCATATCTCAATTAAACTCGTCTACAGCTTGTGGTCCAGACAACATTCCTGTCACAGTCTTGCAGAATTGTTCTCCAGAACTTTCTTCAATTTTCTCTAAACTATTTAACAAGTGTTTGACTGAGTCTTGTTTTCCTGCTTGTTGGAAAATGGCATCTGTGGTTCCAATATTCAAAAACTCTGGAGAAAATTCTGACCCCTCCAATTATCGTCCGATCAGTCTTCTTTCTGTTATTAGCAAGGTCTTTGAGTCTTTGATCAACAAATTCCTCACATCTCATCTTGAGTCAATTAATCTACTGTCAGACAATCATTACGGTTTTCGATCCTCTCGCTCTACGGCTGACTTGCTAACTGCTGTAACTGAAAGATTTTATCGTGCACTAGATGGAGGCGGTGAGGCTAGGGCTATTGCTCTCGACATATCTAAAGCTTTCGACAAAGTTTGGCATGCTGGTCTTCTCCATAAGCTTACTTCATATGGTGTTTCTGGGAAAGTTTTTGAGATTATCAAATCATTTCTTTCTAACCGGTTTATTAAAGTCATCCTTGAAGGCCAACACTCTTCATTATTTCCATTAACTTCTGGGGTTCCCCAAGGTTCCATCCTAGGCTCTGTTTTGTTTCTTATCTACATAAACGATCTTCCCGACAAACTTTCATCTAAAGTAGCTCTTTTTGCTGATGACTCAACTTTATACTCCTGTCTTGACAAAAAGTCCTCTCTTTTCGATCGCCTAGAACAAGCAGCTGATCTTGAATCTGATCTCACTTCACTAATAGATTGGGGTTCACAGTGGCTTGTGAATTTCAACTCTAAAAAAACCCAATTGCTTACTGCAAACAACTACCGTAATATGGTCAACATTCCTATATTAATGAATGGCAATCCTCTTACTGAGTCGTCCTCTTTATGTCTTCTTGGATCATCGCTTACTACTGACCTTTCATGGAAACCATATATACAATCGATTGCTAAATTAGCTTCTGCTAAGGTTGCTTCTCTTTATCGTGCTCGCCATTTCCTTACTTCTGATTCCATTCTCTACCTCTCCAAATCTCTTATTCGTCCCTGTATGGAATACTGTTGTCATATTTGGGCTGGTTCTTCTAACGATTCACTTTCTCTTCTTGACAAGGTCCAAAAACGCATTGTAAATGTTGTTGGACCTGGACTATCTGCTAAGCTTGAACCTCTTTTTTCTCATCGTCGTAAAGTTGCATCTCTTTCTCTTTTCTACAGATTCTATCATGGTCACTGCTCAAAGGAGTTATCATCTCTAGTTCCATCAACTAAAATTCATTCTCGTTTTACTCGTCATTCAGCTAAGTCTCATTGGTTTACTGTATCTGTCCCTGCATGCTCTAAAAACTTTTATTCATCTAGTTTTTTTCCCCGCACTTCAATTCTTTGAAAATCTCTCCCATCTTCATGTTTTCCTGACTCATACAATCTTCAACTTTTCAAATCTTCTGTCAACCGTTTCCTTGCTCTATAACTCTGTTCTTTTTTTTCCTAGTAACTCCCAACTTAATAGTGGTTGCTTGCAGCCTTGTTGGGAGTGAATGCAAATAAAAAATTAAAAAAAAAAAAATTGTGAGAATTAATTTCAAGAATATGTACATATCTTTTTTTAAAAATATGGGGCGTTTCATGTACCCTAATATATATACATGTGCGTGCATATAAGTAAAGTATGCATAAAATGCATGTGTATGTGTGTAAGAGTATATAAATATTATATATGTATATATATATAAGTAAAAATTTTTATTTAGAGTCAGATGTAGAAGTTCCGTTTTTTGATGGTATTTTTTTATTTAATTTTTTTTTTATTTCATTATGTTTTTTATTTCATTATGCTTTTTATTTCATTATGTTTCATTTAGATACGCCAGTTGTACCATGGAGTGCTCTTGCTATTGTTAATAAAAGTGATGTTTACAATCAGGTATAAATTTTTTAAAACAATCAGGTATAAATTTTTTTAAACTGAGTGAACAAAATTTTTGGTAATTTAAAAAAAATTTTATTTCCATTTTGTTTTCTCTAAAATAGCTCTATATGAATAGGGCTAGAGAAAAATTTTAATAGAATTTTTTTTTTTTTTTCGAACACAGCATATTTTTGTATCAGGCTCTGCATATAAAGTATGTTTTTGTTTTAAAGTACTTGAAATATTTACTTCATACATACAATGTAAATAAAAGCTTAAGAGATAAAAGTTACAGAGCTTCAAACAATTCGTTCTGATTGCTGATTTATTTTACTGCTTTTTGGTATGTTTTATAAATAAATTAAATTTGTGTTTAAAAAAAAATTAGTAAAATAATAATAATTCATAATTGAAAAAAGAATTAGTTATTATTTTTATTTCTAACATGGTTTTCATTTTTACTTAGAAAATGGAAAAATAATTTAGTTAATTTTGTTTTTGGGGCATTTTTTACTTTATCTTATTTTTTCTAAAAAGGTTAGAATAATATATTTAAAATGTTTAATTAACCCAATAAAGATATTAAAGTTATTTTTACTTGTAAATGCTACATTAATTATAAAAAATGCCCCAACATATAAAAATGTATCTGAATGATATATATTGGATGTTTGTGTACCTAGGGCCTCTTTGTACCTAGGCCACTCAATCCCAGATTGTTAATAAATGACATATTTCATTAAGCTATTAAGTCTTGTATCTAAGGCCTTATAGTTTGCTTATATCTATGGCCATATGTGTATTTCTCTGATGAAGAATTTGTTTGATAATGAGGTAGATTGTTGAATTTTGATTGGTGCTGAGAGGTTTTATTTTGGCTCATTTATAGTTAACAATTTCCAAATTGAAATACTATTTATATAGTATATTAAATTTAGACTTTATTAGTATTTTACATTTTATTCAAGTAACTCTAAACTTTATGTGTTACTTTTGTAGTTATAAGTGTTATTTTTGCTGAGAAATGTTGGTGTGGCTGCTTAAAAATAGAATTTTGAAAAAAAGCAAAACAGTTTCAGCTCTCTTTCCAGGATATTTGATAAACAATCTAGTAGTAAAAAAAGTTTTTATAAACTTTAAAAGATGTACTATCCTGATAGTAAATAGAGGACTATAGTAGTTCAGATTTTTAAATTTCAATTATCATTATCTTTACTTTCTTAGGTTTATTATAAAATTTACCATTATTTAAGTTGAGGGAAAACACTTTCACACCCGCAGTCAAAATGATATACATATTTATTTCATAGATGATTTTTTTTCCAAGAATTCCCAGAATTCCGGAAATTCACTTAAAACTCCTTTAATTTTCCAGAATTTTTCGGATGTTTTTTGTTATTAATTTGAAAAAAAAATTATTTTTACATAAAATTTTAAGTATGACAACTTTTGCATTTAAACAAATATGTTTTCTATAAATAAAATTTTCACGAGATCAATTTTTTGATCTCGTGAAAATTTTATTTAACATTTTTTTTTCTTTTTTTTTTTTCGCTTTTTAAGTCATACTTTTTGTAAAAAGTAAAATAATCTAAATTCCATTTTAAAAGTTTTTTTTGTCAGTTAATACAATCAATTTTTAATAAAATAATTTTCCGGAATTTTTCGGGATTTTTATAGATAAAAAATTCCGGGATTTTCATAAAGTCAAATGCTCATCTATGTTATTTAAAATCAAATTTCTTCTTTGCATAACTTGCACCTTGTTATATTCATAACTATAAAAGAAAACTCTATTCAGCAGCAATCCCAGAATCCCTCAAAGTAGTATGTTATACTAGAAAGATCATATATATATATATATATATATATATATATATATATATATATATATATATATATATATATATATATATATATATATATATATATATATATATATATGTATATATATCAGGATAGGTCGATTTTAGCTTCTTTTTTTTTTTTTGAATTTTCAGTTGCGTAATGTTGCAGTTATTGTGTCTAGGTTAGAAATGAGGTTTTGCCAAATATCCTGGTTTAAAAATTGCTTGCGGATTTACATTTTAAGTTTTAATTTTTGACTAGTTTTGTTATGTTGTTAATTTCAAACGTTTATATTTTAAATCTAGTAACCTTGATTTAAATATCTCGGTTTGAATTTATAAAGTAACCAATAAACAATTTTTTAAAAAGTGCAATTGTTTTAAGAAGCTATACTTAACTTAAGTTTTAGCATATACTTTCAGATCTCGTTTATCTCGGACATCTTGGTCTCAGATATCTTGGTTAATTATTAATCTCGGTTTCGGAATACCAAAAAAATAAATGTGAAAATATTAAAACCGAGATTACTGAAAATTATTGAAAACCTTCAAAATTTAAACTTTCGTTTTTTAATGAGAGTAGAGTCAAAACGTTTTTGAGTAAACAAGAGTCCTCAGCATAAATTTTCTCACTATTTTTCACGTATTTTTTCGAAGGAAAAAAAAGGTGAAAAAAAAAAGTCCTAATTTTTAAGATTTTTAATACTTTTCAATAATCGCAGTTTTAATGTTTTTAAAAATTGTATAAGTTGCAATTGTAGTGCAATGTTTTCTCATTTATGATTCTGTTGATGTGATTTTTCGCATAAAAAAATTAAATAAAAAGACTGTATTAAACTAAAAAGTAAGTGTTTATTAAATTTATTCATAAAAAAATATTTTAATTTATGACATTTGGTATAGCAACTGCAACATTAATGATTTTTAAAATTGAACAGATTCAAATATAAAAATGGAAAAAAATTCCGAGAGGAACTTATTTGAAATGGCAAAACTACTGTCTAGTTTCAAAAAATGACAAGTTTCACGTTGAATGCACATTGTGTCCTGACGGTGTGAAGGAAAAATTCATCAAACGAGCAGACTGCAATACAAAACAAATTCACTCTCATTTATGGAAGTTTCATCAACATCGTCATGTTCCTTTTGCTGACAAATCCGAAAAATCAATGCATCATCAATTTCGTTAAAAAATGATTGACTCAATTGAAATGAATGTGAAACTAACATTGACTGACGAAATTGTTGCTAAGCTAGCATCTAATATTGGACTTTAACCAAGTTTCAACCAAATTGCGAATCCATTGGTGCAAAAGCTGATTGAAAATTACACAAAGATTGAAGCTCAAAAATCAAAGATTGAAGCTCCCAAAAATGTTGAGAGAGTTCATCAGACAATTTATAGCTCATCAGTGTATGCGAGGTACAAAGTGATGAAAGAAATAACGCTGATAAAATCCAATAGAGGAAAGTTTTCCTATGTGAGTGATGAGGCAACATTTAAACAAATTAAAGTTATCGACATCCATATTTTTGAATAATTACAATCAAAATCTTGGTATGATTGAAATGGGAAAAGAATGTGGTGCTAAAACCCTTTTGAGGTTGCAAAATTATCAAGTAATGACCTTCTGCTTTGATCCTGACGGAAATTGCATTGGTCAAATAATAAATGGGGCAAGTATTTGCATTAAATACGGCCGTCTCTCACAATAACTTTATCACATTTGCTATGATCATGGAATCCATCAAAAATTCTTGAAGATGATCAAACTATTGTAAAAAAAAATTGAGCAAATAAGAATTTATTATTAGACCAAAGCGAAGAAGAATCAGATACAGAGAGTGACATGTTAAAATTTACATCTCAGAGTTTTTGCAATACACCAAGCATGCTTAGAAACAAATAAAGAAGGAGATAAAGATGAAAATAAAGCGTATTCTGATGAAGAAAGCGTGGAAGATGAGGAAGCATATAAGTACGATCCTGCAATGTACTAAAACTCTTGAAGATGATCAAACTATTGTAAAAAAAAATTCAAATATTGGTAGTTCTTGATGACAGAACTCAATAGAAAATTGCATTAAAATGTTGAAAACTTTTAAAGACTTGATCCCAGTTATAAAAAAAGCTCTTAAATCATTTAGACATGGTTAGCCTGATTATTTAGAGACAAGCATTCATGAGTTAGTACCAACCCTTCAACCTTGTAAAATGGCTATGGATGCCATGAGTGTTGATGATGCTGACTTGAACATTGCAGAAGACGCATTAGAATTTTTGTTAGAAGAATTGCTAACAAAGAAAAGTTTTATTTGTGCTCGTTTGATTGAAGAAGTTGAAATAGAGATTCTTAAAAAATGTCAGATCTTAACTGTTACTCTGCTCAAATTTTTAAACAATCTAGGTGTTCTTGAACTCATGGATTGTTTAGAATTTAGGATTGTTTGAGAGCCAAAAAAGTCCCCATTCTTATTCTCATCAAATACAGAAATTATTGAAGAAACGAAAAGGCTCTGGTTTAAACTTTTTTTCACTCTATCCAGTAATAATGACAGTGATGATGTTGTGGAATTTGCATCTGAAGCTCATCAGACAGTCAAACAGGCTTTCAACGATCCTTAGTTACGTCTTCTTGCTGTTCCTTAACTTGTCGAACAACTTCAAACTCAAAGACTCACCTAGAAAAAAAGAGAATCCAATGCCCAACAACAAAACCAAATCACTGATCCTAATGATTTGACTGCTGATGAATTTAACAGCTATGTTACAACTGGATTCAACTTAGAAAAGTTATGCATGTAAGAAAATGTGTTGAAATTGATCAAGCCAACATCGATTCTATGTGAACAAAATTTTTCAATATCAAGCAACCACCGTAGTAAGAAATGGGAGAGAATGACAGCTGCAACTTTGAATGACTTTATTCTTTTGAAAAGTTTTTTCAAGAATCAACATTAACTTGATAAATGTAGAAAACTTATGGTTCATTAATATAGTAATAATAAAAAATTATAAAATACAAATTTTTTAGAAAATTTCAGTTAATTTTCATAGTTTTTACATTTTTGAAAAAGTCTCGGTTTTATCTCGGTTTCCTACGAGATCTTGTTTTGGAAAAAATTGTTTCATATGGACCAAGAACCAAGACGAAAAAAAACCCAAGATTCTGAAAGTATAGTTTTCGCTAAATCCATTTACACAAATTCAACTTAAACTTTGAAAATTTTTTGTATTTAAAAGTTGGTTTTAAAATTAAATATAAATTATTTAAAAGTTGGTTCAAAAATGAAATTGCAATTTAAAGAAATTGTTTAATACCAAAGGTAAATACTTATGACTATTATGTTTAGAGTAATGTTTTTTACCTGTTATGCTTCAATACAGTTTACATATATTATTTATATATATATTAGTTTATGTAATATTATTTATATATATATATATATATATATATATATATATATATATATATATATATATATATATATATATATATATATTAGTATATATATTATTATATATTTATATATTATATTAGTCTATGAAAATGCTGGCATTTTGTATGCCTTTGCTCTCAAAATAATAAAGTACCTCTTGAAGACAGAGCTTATCTTCGTGATCAGAGGAAAAGGTTGGTCCAAAAGGTGCATATCAACTTTCTTCCTTTGATAGATTATCTGTCAAAAGGATTCAAATACTTGACTGATCAAAGACTTAAGTCATTCAAAAATGCTTGATATCAAAGACTTGATAAAGAACAACAAAAAATATCTCATAAGTTAGATGATGAAGATGAATCCTTCATACCACATGTAAACATAATTGAAGAAACTAGTGGTTTATCATATACGTATATACGTTTTATAACTTTGTTAAATGTAGGTAATGTCAAATGTAGGTGTAGCTCTTGCAAATGCTTTACTACATGACATAAAACATCTCCTGAAAAATGACGTTGAAATAAAAGATATTTTAATTGACAAATGCAAATTAGATAAGGCCATGTCAAAGGTAAAAATCGTTAGTAAAGATGTGGACTCAGAATCGTTAGTAAAGATGTGGACTCAAAAAAACAGTTGATTTGCCTTGGGGTTGATGGCAAGCTCAATAAGATAGCTAAAGCAAGTAAAATAGAAAACCCAATAGTAGATGAATATATTCCAGAAAAAATACCAATAGACCTTAGTTTTTTAACAAATAAATTACAACTAAGTAATTTAATTGTAATCAAAGACTTTTATTTGAATATTGGAAAGGAATAGGCTTTGATAAAGTTTCTGATAAATGGGCCGTCTATAAATTTGGACCGCTTAACTATGCGGTGGTTAACTCTAGCTATTCGCTAGAGTTAACCACCGCATTCAAAATTCCACAAATCTGCGTGACTTATTTTTTCTACTATTACTAGAATAAATATTGTTAAAAAAAAACATTAAAAACAATCCATTGTGCCTAAAACCTGAAAGTATTCTTAATTCCATGCTTAAAGATAATGACAAGGTACAAGACTTTGGCTTTTGAATCCTACTGGTTCTAAGGTAAAGGTATTTTTTTATGGTTAACTAAAATAAACTTTAAAAAAACAAAATTACATTAAATGTGGTAATTTGCTTCTGTTTTTATTTATAGTGTAAACAGCAAAAGTTTGAAAGTTTGAAGAAAATTCTGGAAATCAAGTTTAATGCTAATCATTGGTATGAGTTGGTTGACATTAGCATTACAGAAGTTATGGAGTTCCTTACAACACAACATTTTTCAATTGAGCTAATCCATTATATGATTAACAATAATGTTAAACCTGAAATTCCCGACTTTCAGCATCCCAATATGTTAATGGGTTCAAAAATCAACACAGCTGCATTTCAACCAAATTACTAAGCAGGAAGATGCGTAAACCATATATTTCAAAGGATCATTATTTTCATTCTTATGATGATATTTTTAAATTAAAAATCTTTTCCTAAAGATATCCCTGTTCAAAATGATATAAATTTAGCTTAATTGTTACTAATTATTATGAATTTAATTCTTGCAGCAATGCAAATAATTTTAAAAAATATTTAAATACGAACATATTTAAAACAACAATTTTCACGTATAACACTTTTTAAGGTGCTTTCTTGCATAATCCTACAAATCTTTAAAATTTAATTCCGCAAGCGATTCTTCATCCAAAATATCTCAAATTTTGAAATCATGTTTCAACTGTCTCTAACTACTGTAATATTGCGCAATATGCGGAATTAAATTAGCCTATCCTAGTGTGTGTGTGTGTGTATATATATATATATATATATATATATATATATATATATATATATATATATATATATATATATATATATATATATATATATATATATATATATATATATATATATATATATATATATATACATACATATATATATATATATATATATATATATATATATATATATATATATATAATATATATATATATATATATATATATATATACACACACACACACACACACACACACACACACACACACACTAGGATGTTTACAATTTTTTTATAATAAAAACTTTTCTAGGAGTTGCGGAGTTGCACAAGACCCTTGAACATTCAAAGGGTCAATAAAAAGTTATTAAAAAGTATGGTTCTCCGGCATTCAGACGGAGACTTTACATTATCATGTAAAATGTGTTTTATAAATATAAACGATATAGAATGGTTTTCCTTAATATAATTTAAAGGTACTTACATTGTAATATTACGGTATAAATAAGCATTAATATGTTTTACCTATAAATGCAAAATAAATATATAATAATTGTACTTACATAATTACATTAAGGTAAAATAAACAAAAATATATTTTTAGTATAAACGCAAATTTAATATATATTAATTTTACTACAAAATTCCAACAGATCTTTACCCAATTTTATCTTTTTTTTTTATTTACAGAACAAATACTTTTATATTTAAAAAGTTTTGTTTGAGTTTCGCAGCGTTAAACCTAGTGGTCTTTGTGATCTACAATCATTATGCTGCGATCCATAATAAAATAAGAATAAAATGTTTAGTTCCAAAAAGCAACTTTTTTTGAAAAACCTTTCGTGTATATAGAGTTTATGTTAATTATTTTCTTTTTCAGAACTTAATTATTTTTCGAACGCCACCTTATAAACATAAAGTTCTGGATCAACCTGTAAAAGTGAAAATAGAATTGCGAGCTGCTTCCGATCACATGCGTTGCAGTAAACACTTTGATTACACTTATAATAATTGTGAGTATTTAAATTATGTATTGAGTAAACAACTTTTATTACAGTAATTTGTATATCATTATTGTGTATTAACAGCAAGCGACGATGGGTATGAGGTTGGTAAAAAAAGAAAGAAAACGACTCCGGCGATTCCTGATTTTGACGTAGCACAATTGAAATATTTTTCTCCGCAAGAACAGTTAAATCAATTATTCTCAGATGAACAAAATTTAATTCAATCTCACGTTGCCTACAATAATTTTCCGCAACCCGGCTTACCTGTTGTAGACGATACGTTTAATATACATATGATAAACGGATTTTCGACAGATTTCAATTCCACTCATTCATATTTTCCAGACGACATGCTTTGTGTAATCAACCAAGTCGCTAATATAAATACTTCTGAGTTGTGTAATGAAAAAGAGATTAATGTAGATGAGGTTAAACTAGATGAGATTAAAGTATATGATAAAGAAGAAGATGATAACAATTTAACATTTCCCCTGACATGATAAAATAAGGCTTTTTTATTTTTTATAGTCATATTTAAAAAGTAAATAGTTGGCTTTCAAATATTAAAAAATAACGTAGTTTAATCTTGCATCTGCGTTCATAAAAATATTACTATTAAAAATAAAAAGAATAATCAATAGTGTATGAATACCTATTTCGTCTTTTTGTACATATTTTCTTTTATTAACTTTTATTTTAAGTTTTATTTTCGATCACCTTTTTCTTAATAAAACTTTATATGGCTTTTGAAACATTTTTATATGGGTTGGTTGTCCAAACATCAACTGAAACCCTCAATAACTATTTTTTTGTAGAGCAGCAACTTTTGAAAAAAGACCTGTACATTTGGAAGGTCTTGCGCGCAGATTTTGTGTTACAAATCTAGCCTAGAGATTGAAATGCCATTTTTAAAATTACTATTTTTTTTTTTTACTATTTTAAAGTGATTATATGTTCAAACTTATTTATGCCACGTGTGCGAACGTGTCAATTGTAAAATGTTCATACACATTGCATAATTCAAAATTACTTTTTAAGTTATATATATTTTATGTTTATATCTTAGTACTAAAATTACTGGAATATTTAGGAAAAATTATAGTATCGGTCTTGAAATGTTGTTATTTGGTTGTAATTATAAAAAACGTAGGGGTAGAAGTTATGTTTCTGATCAAAATCATCTTTAAATGAAAATTTTCTTAGGGCGTTTCATAGATTATTTGTTATGAATTATTTTTAAAACTTATATTTATGTGTTTTACAAATGTCACAGAACTTTTGTATAAGATAAAATAGATAATTAAAATTGGTTTAGTATTTTCATTTAAGAATGTTCAAATTCATTTTATTTTTTTAAATAATCAGAAAATCCATGTATAATTTTGATTTAGTAACATTTAAAACTGCAAAACGTTTTGTTTTATAATCAAAGAAAAACTAGTTGAATATTCTAGTTTTTTTTTGTTTTGTTTTGTTTTGTTTTTTTAAATATTGAAATAACTAGTGTTGTTATTGTCGTCTTCAGCTTAAAAAGACAAGGCTTTGGCATTTATCATCTGCTTAATCACCCAATTTAAAACATATTAACTTCTGCTTAATCACCCAATTTAAAGCATATGTTTTGAATCATGCAGGCACACAAAGTAGGTTAGGCAGCACTTTTTCACTTTATGAAATTGAATTGGCAGATAGGTTACCTTCAAATCTGCTCCTGATATGTTATAAAAGTGTGTGCGTAACACTGTTGGATTATTCTATAATTAATCCAATAACTATTTTACATTTGCAGTTAGAAATAGTAATTTATATTAAAAAATTAACATGATAATATTATATAATTTAATAAGTCTAATAATGTAACATAACTAATTTAAGTAGTTGATATATATCATTAATTAAATTTTAAAAGTTAAATTTATTTAGGTTGTAAGAAACAAGAAGATTATCATCAACTTTTCTAAACATAACTATTATGTTTATACAAAACGAAAACAAGAAGACAAAAAAACAAGAACTAACATACTTTTCTAAAGTTAAAATGTTTTATTCAAAAAAATTATTGTTCTTTGTTTTTTGCAAAAAATATCAATTTTTTTCAGTGTGTGTGTGCATATACTTATATAAACTATAGTAGCTAAAAAGGAAGTAACTTTCGCACCATTTTGAACTGAGTAATTTTTTTTCTTCGATCTAATTGACCACAATCACGTTCTTTCCATGATACTTTTTTTTTAATAATGGATTTTTTAACATCTGCCACCTGCGATAAAGAGGGTAATATCGTTTGGTTTTTTTCAAACATATTTTTTAATACAATATTCTCAATGTTATTATTTTCTTCGTCAATACGCGATTTATTTTCTACATCAACTGAAATTTCATCCTCATTGTCTAATGGATCTAACCACGCTGATCGTGCAGTCAAAATCAACCATGTAGTGGCTACAAAAGGTATGGTTAATACAGGCAATTGAAGAAAATTATTAAATAAGATTGCTTCCACAGCAACTTGAATGAAAACAGTAAGAGCAGCGGTAAAAATTCCAACAATGAATGCTGCAAACGAGGTTCGAAAAAAAACTCCACCACCTATGGAAGCAGCAGCACCTTAGTATAAATAGTTTTAAAACAAGATTAATGATACATATAATTCATTCATAATATATATATATATATATATATATATATATATATATATATATATATATATATATATATATATATATTATAACAAAACTTGTAGTTTCTTGAACTTATATATATTTATGTGTTTGTGGGGGGGGAGGGCATCCATAAAGGATGTCATCCAAATGGAGGGGGGGGGAGGGGTCGAGATAGATAGGACAAGGGGAGAGGTTGTCAGAAAAAGACGTCACTTAATAGATTTTTTATTTTAGTTTAATTAACATGGAAAACTATGTAAGTTTTTAAGAAGATAATAATTGAGATTATTTTTAATTCTATTTTTTAAAGATGTAGCAGCAGATTCAAACATCATTGCAAAATGAAATAAGTTTTTTTGGGGTTAAAAATGGGGGGGAAGGGGATTTTATGACGTCCTTTTCAAAGGGGTATAGGGGAAAAGGACAACCGGTGACACAGGGGGAGGATATATATATATATATATATATATATATATATATATATATATATATATATATATATATATATATATATATATATATATATATTATGGTAGACCCTTGTACCACATTTTTCAAAAAATCAATTTTATTAATTTTAAATTTTAATTTTGATTTTTAAAAAAATAAACTTATATATATATTTTTTAGCGTCCATAATGTGTATATGTACTGAGTAGATTACATATTAGGGGTGCCAAACTTTATATGCTAGACTAATGACTTTTTAAATTTTTTCTCAGCACTTCAATGTAAAAAAATTAGATCAAGGATATTATTTATTTATTTGTTTGAAAGAATAAGTTTGTGAGTTAATTGTTTATTTAAATCCATTTAAATGTTTACTTAATTGTAAACTCACATTGAGGGGCACCAAAGTTTTAATTTAAACTATTAATTTTGTATGTATTTGCTTCTGCACTTCAATTTAAAAAAATAATTACAATAGTTAATTATTTGAAAGAATAAGTTTTTGAGTCATCATACTGATTAAAAAAGAAACCTTTGGGGTTTGTTTTTTTTATAGAAAACGCTAATCAGAAATAGAGAGAGAGGATTAAAAAAAACATTGAATAAATTTTTCTATAGACTGGAAAAGCAAGATCCAAACGATAATCAGCATCAATTGCAGATAAGATACGATATAAGAGTGAATTTATTACAATAAACTTTGTTAGTAAATACAAAATAATAATAGGTTAAAGAGATAATAGGTTACCCTTTGTTTAAGCCTTAATAACCATTATTTTCTATTTTTATATTCTTTTCTTGATGTTCGGTGTTGGGTGTACTTTTAACCATAATTAAAATCATAACAAACAAAAAATAAAACACCTTATACCATAAGTGCAAAAGATGTCAGGAGAAAATTCACAGTCCTAAGATTTAAAAGACATTCTTGTTAAAGTAGTTGAAATATCTTTTTCTGTACAAGAGCGCTTTAATTTACAATCAAGTTCCAGTAAAAGTACATCAATTTCGTTTTTATTTAAGATTTAGCCTTTTCTTAGATAAAAAAGAAAATGTTTAAAAATAAGTATGTACATGTATGAAAATGGGCTGTATAGTGCTATTATAAATTCCATGAAATTGGTAGAAAAACTAGACATCAATCCAGGATCGTCCCGAAAAGATCCTTAAGAAAAATATGCCGACTGCCAACTATAGATCCAATTTTGCCAACTCCAAGGTATATGCCAATAATAAATTTCGGAAGGGGGATAGTCACACTTTACTCTTCCCTTCGGGACGCCTCTGTATCAATTGAAGGTTCTCTGATGAAGTTGTAGTCAAGCCAAGAAAGATCAAAAAGTAATATTACTATGAAGGTGAACTTTGAAGTCGGCAATTTTTTTTAATTTCTTTTACTACAATTTATGAAAGATTTGAACAGATGGAAAATCTCAGGAAATCTTTCGATCTCCTCTAAAACATAAAAAATAAAAAATGTGAAAAAAATGCAGTTAAAGAAAAGTGCAAAAACTTGCAATTCGTTTTGACAGTTGCTTTTGCTCCCGGTATCATTGGCCAGCGGAGAAAAGAGTTTGTAGCACATTTTTCAAAAAATCAATTTTTTAATAGCTGCATAAAATATTGTTCCTTTTACTATAAAAATAATTTTTTGTTATGAAAGTGTTTATGTAGTTTATAGGGGAAGTTGCCTTAATTGAAACACTTAAGGAATAAATATTTATTAACCAAAGATGGCTTAATTATGAAAACATTTATGATTTGAATAATACAAACAGACATCCCTACTATACTTTTAACCACAATTTGACTTAATTGATTGCACTGTTATTGGAAATAAATTTGTTTTTACAAAGGTACCATTTTGTTCCAATCAAGGCAACTGGTTCCCTAAATTGGAACACTTTGATTCCTTAATCAGAACAAATACTTTTTTAAAAAAAAACAACAATAAAATCAACAATAATTGGTTAAAAATTATTTTTATCTTTACAGTTAAAATTGAAACAGTTAATTTAAAACTTATTATAGGATCACTATTACCCTGACAAAATTAAAATCTACAAACAAAAAATTTTATAAAAGCTTCAACTGTTATGACGTTCTTTTAATTTATTGATTAAAAATCACTAAACAAAGTTTTTTTTTTTTACCGTTTATGGTTGTTACGAAGTATTTTTTAATTGCACTCAAACTATTTTTACAACCCTTTGATTTTATTACTGATTAGGTAAGGAAAACTTTAATGTTCCAATCAAGGAAACTATGGACTATTTTGTTATATCACTGCAATAAATGCTTGGAGCAACTTATAAGATAAGTTTATATTGTTATTTTGCATTTTAAATTCCATCAAATTAAACACAAAAAATCGTATAACCTATAGCACCATAGTTTACCAAGTGCAACCAATATAGTGTAAACGCAAAATTAGATCACAGAAAAAAAATGACGCAAAAAAACTTTAAACCAATGGTGCAAATGCATTTTTTGAGGAATAACTTTCAAAATGTGTCAAAAAGTAGAAAATAATGCGTTTACTAAAAAAATGCAAAATATAGCCATTACTCATTTTTTTCAAAAATAAATGCAAGTGTTCCAATTAAGGCGCTGTTCCAATATCGGCAACTCTCCCCTACATTCGGTTTAATACTTACTAATAATTGCGCGTTTCTATTGTACTTTCATGTAAACAAATGCATCACATGCATGTCGTAATACTCGTTTTTTTTATAACTAAGTTTTTTTTTAATAAGCATTTGATATTTTTAATATAATTTTTGTTTTACATAAATACCACCAGCTTAGATTTAAAACAATATTTTACAACAAGAGAACTACTTAAAAGATTATATTAAGATAATAATAAGAATAATGCAAATTATACTTTACTATACATAAAGAAATTTGTTTTGCAATGGCTTCCCAATGCAGTGTTTTTTTTTTTAAAAAATGTTCAAAATGCACCAATCTATATGTAGGGAAAGGTTGAATAGCTTGGGGAAAAAGATTCGATGTTAAAATTCATTGATTGAATTGTTGCAATTGTGGTGATATGTGGAAATAGGTTGGAGCTATCGTAGTTTGGGGGAATGGTCATTAGATTGGGTGTGTGTGGAGGTGGTAATTTTATTTTTACAGTTTTTAAGATTAAATTCTTATGCAATCGTTATTTTTAAACACATTGTATATCCTGTTTACACTGGACAACTGGAATACAAATTTACTGCACAGTGTTAACTGTATTTTGTTTTTTACGGTACTATATTTTTTTAAATTGTTTTTCTGCTGTTTTTTCATCAAACAATAGTTGTTGCTAGATACTTAAAAGCAGTACTCCAAATAGGGGTAATGTACCAGCTTGCTACCTTTTAAAGTATAAAATATATAGTAATGATAAGAAGGTATTTGAAAATACTGACAACCATCCCGTTACGTTTTTTTCCCCTTTCGAGCACTGCTTAAAAAGTAAAATACAACTTATTATAGACTAAATTACTTAAAAATGTAATTAAAACTTATTGTTCCATCTTTTTCCATCAATTTTTGCATCTGTTTAAAATCAACACGTTTTACATTCTAATACTTTTATATAATTTTAAAATTTAGCGAGGAATTAATATTTTATATTAATTCACCTCCCCAAGGCCGAGGAAGCGACAACAGTCAAGGGGACTACTTTTTTTTTTAATTTGTTATTATAATCTTCTCTCAACTATTTAAGTTCAAAACGCGAACCTTGATGAACAAGATCGTTGTCTGGAGAAAAGGTTGAGTGTCTTTCAATAAAGGATGTGATGAGTTGGAACTTGAAACTTCTCGCTTACAAAGCGAGCCCTCTATCCCTATACCACCCATCGCATTGGCAGGGCGTCCCGAACGGGTGGTGTAGGCAGTGTTTCACCCCATCAAAGCTGTTATATATGCATTTGAGTTAGCACATTTGTACATTTAGCATTTCAGTTGGCAAGTTTTGAATGTTAAATATTGAGGACTTTTTATTTTTTTTGGGTATCTCTAGTTAGCAAAAGTACATACAACACCCCCCAACTCTTCGGGACAGCCCTGCGCACTGGTAGTGATTTATATTAGTCATATACTTTTGTAATGTAAATTCAAAATATTTTAACACTCGCATGTCTTATGAAACAGTGAAAGTATGAATGAATTAAAAAACAATTTAAAAAACTTTTACTTATTCCAACAATTAATAGATGAAATTTTTCATATTCAATTTCCAAATAAGAAGTATTATGTTAAAACTAAACTGATTCAGGATAAGACATTGTCTAGTTTGCAACTCTTAAAAGTTGAAACTAGATGAATGGGCAGAATAGAGTTTAAACTAGTTGAATAGGCATGATAGATAATTTGTAAAAATTCATTTTTGCTTGAGATTCTGAGATTTAAAATTTTTGAGCGGTTGCAATTCAAATTTATAAAAACTCCTCTCTGGCTCACGTGTCATCGTATTTTTTGATTAATTCATTGGGT